AACAAGATTCAGATAGATTTTACTTCCACCTGGAAGACTTGTTTGAGCAGGAATAAAAGAGAGAAAGAAGAGGTGAAATGTATAAAGATGAAATCATGAGAAAAAGGAACATATATATGTTGGATTATCTTGGATATTTGATTGTTTTGTGCCAGTTGGTGTGAGAATTTGTGCCTATGATGATGTGAGGGAAGTGTGCAAAACCAGATAAAGAGAGAAAGAACTTTGCAAGTAAGTTGTTGAAACAGAAGAATAATGGTTGAAAAGATAATGCTAAAACAAGGCACTTAAAACTTCTTCAGACTAATGGGTCCAAATTATTACGCAGAGTTTATGGTCTTTAATAACTGTGAACAACTTGTTCTGTGTTTATTGACATAAGTTACTACAGTCATTAATGCTAGAGGGCAGTGGCTGGCCAGCACCTAATGCAGATACCTTTAATTTCTGATTTATTTGTTTTCTTTTGCTGAAAGTTGGTGTATTCTTTATTCTTTTATTTTCTGACATAACTGCAGTTAACAAACTGATCTGTTTGATTGCAACTTCTTTCCATTCTTAAATAAATACTAATCTCAAGTAGACAATGAGGTTATATAAGGGAGTACTGTATTGTCTTTCTAGAATTGGCATGATATGCCAATATTTCCTAGAATCTAAATTTGTTATCATACTAATGTGGGATCTGTATGGGAACTAGAAAATTAACATGATATTTAATAGAATATCCCAGCACTTCTGTATGTGTATGCACCAAAAACACAAAATTATTTGATTTTTATATATTCTTGTGTGAGGAATTCAAAATCATTAAGTAAATCAGAATTTTAAGAATTGAGATATATATGTAATTGTGGATAATACAGTATAAAACAATTCAATTTGTCAATTTATTTTATTTTGTTCACAATCATGAACATATTTGCAACCATTTTATTCTTGTTATTTAATTATTATTTTTGATTTTTTATTTATTTATTTATTTTTTTGTGTATTGCTGTCAGGATATATAATTTTGTACTAATATGAATAAGTTCTCAAGACAACCTCATTGTTGTCACTATAGTCTGACCTGGACCCAGTCACTCCCTGGAGCACGGAGGGGCAGAGTGGGGCACAGGGACCCAACAGCTAACGGCCCCAGTGAGAATGGTGGCTATTTGAGACTAGATATGGACAGCACTGATAGAGACTATGCAAATTTACCTCCCCTTGATCTCTCTTATCACTCTGACCTAAGTTACTATGACCCCCCCAATGCCATGAGCACCTCCTATGGTTCCAACCAGCAACCACGGAGGGCTGGGAGGAGCTTTGAGATGGGCGATGGGGGCATCCAAGATTCGTTCACACACGACTACTTCTTAAATAATCACTACAGTCAACGAGAGATGGACAATAAGCACTCATACCTTGAGGGTAGTAATGGTTACTCAGTTCCCGACAGTGATAACAACGATTACATGACAACCTCATTCATTTTGAAGGAGGAGGAGGTTCCCTACCATGACCCAACCTGTACAGTTGCTGACTGTCAGAGACCTAGTTGTCTGATCCCGGACTATTGTGATGACACGACCATACCATACCGTTCCCTAGCCCCAAAAGACCAATCCGACCAAGGGACCGAACGCCCCACTCGGTCCCGATCCCATTCGCGACACCACAAAAGACACCGGCACCGTTCGAAGAGTGACATGGGCTCCTTGAATGGCCCTCAACAAGCCCCCCCCTCCTTCCGGGATGCCCAGGAAGGCCCTCCCGCGAGTGAGGCGATGTCCGACACTCTCAGAAGGGAGAAACGGCCCCTCTCTGGCTCAGACGTGCTGCGAATGTCTCCAAGGTAGTCTTTAACCTGAGTTCTTCAGTGATTAGAGCTGAAGGGAAAAAAGTTATTGTTTCAGGTTCTTTTCTCTCCTGTTACATTGGCTAGATCCCTTCATTTGTGAATGCATTAATGATGGTGAACTTGGGAATGCTTCAGTGAGTGCACTTTTGTGAGTTTCATTATCATGCTGTATGTAATGTTTGTGTTTGTCTGAACAACTCATTTTTCACTTTAACAATCAGAGAATTATAGTCTCATTCTATGTTTAAAGGAAAATTATCTTCTGTTCTTTCTCACTCTCTCACTCTTTCTTACCCTACATACAAGGACACACACTCACTCTCTCTCCTCTCCTGTCTCTCTCTCTTCTCTCCTGTCTCTCTCTTCTCTCCTGTCTCTCTCTCTTCTCTCCTGTCTCTCTCTCTTCTCTCCTGTCTCTCTCTCTTCTCTCCTGTCTCTCTCTCTTCTCTCCTGTCTCTCTCTCTTCTCTCCTGTCTCTCTCTTCTCTCTCTCTCTCCTCTCTCCTGTCTCTCTCTCTTCTCTCCTGTCTCTCTCTCTTCTCTCCTGTCTCTTTCTCCTCTCTCCTGTCTCTCTCTCTTCTCTCCTGTCTCTCTCTCTTCTCTCCTGTCTCTCTCTCTTCTCTCCTGTCTCTCTCTCTTCTCTCCTGTCTCTCTCTCTTCTCTCCTGTCTCTCTCTCTTCTCTCCTGTCTCTCTCTCTTCTCTCCTGTCTCTCTCTCTTCTCTCCTGTCTCTCTCTCTCTCCTCTTCTCTCCTCTCCTCTTCTCTCCTCTTCTCTCCTCCTTCTCTTCTCTTCTCTTCTCTTCTCTTCTCTCTCTCCTCTCTCTCTCCTCTCTCTCTCCTCTCTCTCTCTCTCCCTCCCCCTCCCTCCCTCCCTCCCTCCTTCCTTCCTTCTTCCTCCCTCCCTCCTCCTTCCTCTCTCCCTCTCTCCCTCTCTCCTCTCTCCTCTCTTCTTCCCTCTCCTCTCTCCTCTCTCCTCTCTCCTCTCTCCTTCCCTCTCCTTTCTCCTCTCTCCTTTCCTCTCCTCTTTTCTCCCTTCCTTCCATCTATTCTCAAGTTCCATCCAATCTCATCATCTTTTCCTCTAACCTTCCTTCCTTTTCACCCTCCTACATATTGTCCCTCTTTCTTGCTGTCCTTCCTCTCCCCACTCAAATGCCACAAACATAAAGTTGTATGAAAGTGAAGAGAGACTGTCATGTTTTCACCTCTGTTATTGTTTGATGCCAGCTTCATTGTTATGGTGAATTCTTTGATTGCATTGACCAGAAGAAAGATTGTCATAGTAAAGAAAGAAAGCTTATTCATATTACATCATTTGGCATCATTTTTTGCCGCTCTGTTACGTGTGGTATCAGCTTTTATTGTGGTTGAGATAAGGAAAAAAAAAAATCAAGGGCATGCTTTTAAAACCTTATACCCTAATGAGTTCTTCTGAGATTATATTGATATAAAATGCAGATTACCTTTTTTTTTACGGTTTATTCTTATTTGCTTAGTATTTGTAGTTTGTATGAAATGAAAGCTATTTTGCCTGTGCAGAGCTGATGAAATATAAAGCTATTCATTATGTTTCAGATCTTACAAAAAGCTTTAGTGCACGAACATGAATAAATAGACTAAATTTTTTTTTTTTCATCTGTATCTCTCTTTTGATGTATATCTTATGATGTATGCCTAATAAAAAGAGCATCTAGAAGTGCCACAGCCAGCAAACAGGTCAGAAAGTCTCTTAGGTGTGCATATACTGGATGATTTAGCAAGCAAGAGATATTTAAGGATTTTTTATATCTGTTTGAAGTGGAGGTTAGCTTCCCTTGTGAAGTAATATTCTTTTCTGGCATAGTGACCTAAACTAGATACATTTTTACATGGAAAAACACACGCATACACACACATACATACATGTACATATACATATGCATATACATATGCATATACATATGCATATACATATGCATATACATACACACACACCTACTGTACATACATGATAGATAGGTAGATTCAAGTGTATTTGAATATTTATAATGCATGCAAGTATTAAGGGTTTATTTATGAGAGAAAATAATTCTTCTGAATTCCCATTTCCTTCCATTGTGAAGACTATGATGAAATAGCTGATTATCAAGCCTTTTCTTAAGGAAGGATGAATAGATAAATAATGAGTGTAAGGGAGTAAGATCAGGAAGTGAATTCAGTATATTCTCAATGAGTGATTTTTTTCCTGGGTTTTCTGGCTGTGTCCAAGATTTTAAGGTTTAAGATTCCCTAAAAAAAATGAGTGTGTATTTGTTTTTACACACTGCAGTATGTACATACATGTATATGTATGTCTGCATACACACACACACACACACACACACACACACACACACACACACACACACACACACACACACACACACACACACACACACACATTCATACATATATATAAAGATGTATTTGTGTATGTATATATGTGTCCTTATATTTATATAATAAAATCTCTTTATAAAGCTATTTCATTGCAAGAAATAGTTATATGAAATTTATAGATGCTCTTAAGTCATGTCCTCCTTGTTAGTCATACACCTCTAGATCATCCTGTCAGAAGTTTGATTCTTTTATCTCAAGAAGAGTTCGGGGCATTGAGACTGCAACTTGTGGTATTGATGACATTTTTTGTTGTTATTCTACATTTCTGACAGTTCTTTAAAAGCAAATTGTATCTATCAAATGAAGGGTAAAGATAAAATTTAATTTACGAAGCTTCCAGATTACAGAGAAGCAAAGTTTCAATTTTATATCATTCAGGTCATGATGATGAGAATGCATCAGTCCCTTGGTGATGTGATTTGTCAGTATTCATGAAAAGTAACTGTCCAATAAATTGGTCTTCAATTTCACTGACAAATTGGTTCAGAATCTGCTTAACCCATTGCCGCCAGGGATGGCATGTACGTATATGCCATGCCCACTGTGAGTCGATTTGTTTGATTGTTTTTACACATAGATGGCTACACTTGTACTAAGTATCCAATGAGCCAGTTACGAGTACTGCCTGTCTCGCCCGTTCACCCTTTTCATCGATTTACGAAAATATTTAACTTTATCCTAATTTGCTGTTAACCCCTTGGTGCTGGGTGACGCCGATCGGCGTGTAAACAAAGAGCTCGAAAGCTGGCGTGCAGCCGAATGAGCCGGCGGCGCGCCAAAGCGCGGCGAGCCGGTGATTCGGGCTGATGTCCCCTACTCACACGCTCAAAGTCGGCGCGCCGCCTTTGTTTGTTTAAGCGCAGAGTTTTTTTTTTCTTTTGTACACCCGGCACCATTGGGTTAAAAATAACACCATCTATATTTATAGCACTAGTAAGAATACGTTCTTTCCCGCCAATTCAAGGAAAGGTGAAATCAGGACAAGCAGAGCCATCTATGGACAGAGATATTTCACAAAAATATAAAAAAAGAGTGCTGTATTTCCCCCATTTTTTGTTCATTTTCCCCGGCGGCAATGGGTTAATCATGTAATCCAGTATTGTTTCAGCAACCAGCCATTATTTACTTTTTATTCATTTATTTATTATTATTATTATTATTAAACATTTTATTTAATTGAATTCATTTTTTTATATCTTATTTTCTTCGCCATTTGGTCACATAAACCTGATTACGGCATTGAGAACTCAAAAAATCCCACTTTGCAAAATTGTATGTATATGCATAAATATGTATATATCATCATCATCATTTGGGGGGCTAACGCCGGTAGGGGCGCATAGCCGCGTCCACCCTTCGTTTCCACCTGCGAGGGTCTCTCATGGCGAGCCGCCAGGCAGGGGCCCGGCCCATCTCTAGTTCCTCACGACAGGTTTGCTCGATCTGCCCAAGCCATGACCTTCTTGGTCGTCCCACAGGCCTCCTCCACCCAGGGTTGTCTCGAACAGAGACAACCTGATGGGCAGGATCATCCTGCGGGAGTCGAGCCAAGTGGCCATATAGCCTGAGTTGGCGATCACGGATTGTGCAAGTAACAGGTCCTGTACCGGTCTCACGGTGTAGCTGTTGGTTGGACACATGGTCCCGCCAACTGTACCCCATGATCCGGCGCAAGGATCTGTTACAAAAGGCATCGAGACGAGATTCCAAAGCACAAGATAGCGTCCAAGTTTCACTACCATAAAGTAAAACTGGCAGTATCAGGGCCTTGAAAACTCGTAGCTTGGTCCTTCTGCACAGGTACCAGCATCTCCAAATACTCTTGTCGAGAGATTTCATGACCCCTGCTGCCAGGCCAATCCGTCTACTGACTTCCTGGTCTGACAGCCCAGAGTCATGAACTGCACTACCGAGGTATATAAAACTCCTAGTGACTTCGATGTTTTCACCGCAAGCACGGACCGACTGCACAGGGTCTCCTAGTAGGCCCCCAAAATCCTGGATCTTGGTCTTGGTCCAGGAGACCTCTAGCCCCAGGGGCTTCGCTTCATTGCTAAATGCATCAAGAGCCGCCACTAGGGTTTCCAGAGATTCAGAAAGAATGGCAACATCATCAGCAAAGTCAAGGTCTGTAACCTTGATATTGCCCAGAGTTGCTCCACAGTGACTTTGGACAGTAGATCTACCCAGTATCCAATCCATGCAAGTGTTGAAAAGTGTTGGTGCAAGGACACAGCCTTGCCTCACGCCTGAACTAACAGGAAAGAAGCTCGACAGGCCCCCACCACACTTTACAGCACTTTCAGTGCCTGTATACAAGTTTGCTATTAGCCCAACAATCCTTGTTGGAATTCCTCTCAGTCTCAGGATCTCCCAGAGTGATTCGCGATGCACCGTGTCAAACGCCTTCTTGAGGTCGATGTAGGCTGCAAGCAGCCCACGTCCGAACTCACGACGGCGCTCTACAATGACTCGAAGCGCCAGGATGCGGTCTATTGTGGACTTACCAGGAGTGAATCCAGATTGCTCCGGTCTTTGGTGCCTCAGGAGGTGGTCTCTGATACGTCTCAGTAAGAT